GTCCACTATTTTTTTTATAACATCCAATAATTGGAGACCTTTAAAAGTCTAAACATAATATTAATAATATTATTTGTCATAATATATATCCATTAATAATGTAGGTATATAAAAGTTTTAACGAAAAAAAAATAACATAATTATTATACTACCAAAATTAAATAAAAGAAAAAATATGTCACAGGGATACAAAAATAGGTAGATACCAATATAGAAGTATAAGATTTAATGCACACAATGAATATCATTAGGCAATTGTCATTTTAAAATCAATTAATGCAGAAATGTTCAAATTTAGTTAAAAAAAAAAAAACCAAAACTAAAGAAAGTAATGTATTATCAACAAAGTCAATCAGATAATAATATAAATATATTAAGAAAAAAGATTCAACTCATTTAATGTTAATCAAACAATATAATATGTTAATTGTTATTATAATGAAAAGCTACAACCTACGATTATACCTCTCTTTGACCGTAGGCTAAAAATATCGAAACAACAAAATATTTTATTAGATGTACAAAATAATAATGTTGTTACAGTAACAAAGGCTAGGAAAAGCGTGAAAGATGGACAAGAGGACAGACACAATGGGACATATATATTATTTACGTTACAATGGGTATAAGACGATGTAATATATTATATGCGTATACCAAAATATATCTGTTTGAAAATCCAAAATAATTTTATACAAAATAACAAAACCGTCAATGTATAAAAATCATAAAATAATGTTATGTTGCTATGCATCTATAAGGAACGTTATCCTTTAAGCGTGACAGTTTATTTGAATATAGGTTAGACTGCCTTTTACATTCAATTTAATCGTTTATAAAGTTGAGTCCATCCTTTGAACTATGTTATCCGATATCCTCAATATTTTGCAAATACTTGCTTACTTGAGTAATTATAATATGTATAAACTTTTGTTACGATGATCGATTATATATCAAGAAAACTATTATGCTGAATAACATTAATTCTGTTTATTTTCCCACTCTGCAATGAAATGTTTCTCTGATAATATTATTCTCATTCCATACAAACAAGTGCCTATACAGCAAACATGAGTGTTACTATTAACAATTAGCTTAATTATTACTAGGTGCAAGATGACACTCCAGCAAGAAGTCCACTTTATACCTACTGATGGGTCAACGTAATAATATAAGTATTAATAAATACATAATACAAGCTTAACACAGGTCTTATTTTCTTGTTAATTTTATAATGGATATTGTAAAAATGTATGTATAATATTATGATGTTATGAGTATTATAAATACAAACATTTTTCTTTTAATTTAACTGAATTAATTAATAAACTATAGCAATATATTAAGTACTACATAATATTATATTATATTACAATTTGTTATAATAAATGAAAAGTCAATAGAAATATTTAGAAAATATTTTGATATATATCCCAAATATAAACCCAATAGGTTTAACAAATAAGGGAAAAACATTCATAAACTTTTATTTGATATTTTATCATAGATACCATTTTAAAGTATATTTTGTACATTTTTATAACAACATACAATATACTATTATTATTTTCTAGAAAATATTTAATTGGATTTTATGAACAACCATTGAATGTCACTCTTGACAGTAATAATAATAATAACAACAATAATAGAAATTACTAATTACATTATATAGTTATACTATTTAAACTCATCGACGTTGTTTATTTACTATAATTTAGTGTGTAAAACGTCACATTAAAAGCAATTTAATCATAGTAAAACTTTTTTTTAATCATACATTCATAGGTAGTTTCCGGAAAAATACTTCATGTAAAGTTGTTCATATCTTGTTTAACGGATTAATAGTTTGACAGAAATGTCAGTACATTATAGGTGATACGAGTGTATATATTATATAATTTATATACGACATAAGTACCTATATCGAATTACAAAAAAAGACTTAAGTTTATTATAGAGTTGAAGACTGAAGTGAAGTGAATACAAAAATTGTTTTTAGAAGCCGATCTTTTCTATAGCGATAAGTTAGTTTATTGAAACTCCCCAATGTCCCTCCAAAGCTGTGTCGAAACATCAATGGAGTTCGGTATGTCAATATCCTGATAAATTGAGGGTCCACGTAGAAGGCACTCTACTTAAATGAATATCAACTTTTCAATTTACTATTCCATAATAGTTGTAACAATGTTAAAATACAATAAGTTATCGGAGAACAGGATATTATTTATTCACTTACTGTCAATGAACAAATATCAATATCATCATTTACGATATGTATGGACAAATCGACAAATTAAAAAAAAAAAATGGGTAAATGGGTACCACTCTACTGTAACGTAGGTGTCGAGTGGGTCACTGTAATTGATGTGTTAATTGAGTTCAACGATTTTATACTATCTACGAAAAACAACTCTAAGCAGAGACGGTCTGTCAGCCTATATTATATATGTACCTACAACCTACTAAGTATATTTTATGATATTATCATTTAAGTAATTTATGTTAGGTACTATTACTATAAATAATATTTTTATAAATAGCTTCAATATTTAAAGATAAATGAATAATAAATATATTTTAATAAAAATATAATTGAGTGGCATGATACGATTGTAGAGTTATATTTATGTTGAAATATTAAATTTTAATACAAAGGTAAATCATAGAGTGTGTTTGAAAAACGATTATGAGAGACTTTTGTTGTTTGTATTTTTTTTAAACCAGACTTTTAATTTTAATAATATAACCTAGTTATAGTATAGTCTCTTAGATGCTTGTAATAATGTACCTAACTTTGGCTTGTCTTTTGATTTACAACTCAAAATAAAAAATATGATATTGAACATGATTAGGTACATGAATATTAGTTAAACCTACATGTATTTTTTACTGTATAAAATTATATATTTGCTGCCTATTTGTCTCCCTTCTTTGTTTAAATATTCAATATTAAGATCCACAAAGTATAATTTCTTGTAAAACTATAATAACTATAACTGTACTATTTCCCATTTGAGACTTGAGTTGTTTAAGCTTTAAATAAATAATATTAATCTATTAAAACAAACAATAGTTATGGTAATAAATTATATAAAATCGTATTAAATTTGTTCTTTTTATGTTTTTTTGAACCAGAAATTAAACTTTAAAAAAACATTAACTATTCCTTTCATTTTAAACTTCAAGAAAATATCCTTTCAACTGAATACTTGTATCCCTGTGGACACCTGTTTTTTAAATTTTGCTAAGTGGATAAGACGAGGTGAATTCGTCAACATTTCTCTTTGCCGTTATGTAAAAAAATTCAACTTCAGACCATCTTCTTCTTTTTATTGACCGTTTACTTTCCAGTGAAAAATTACAACGCTGGCTGGTAATTAGGAAGAAGCAATGTAGAACGTGTAGTTGAATCATTTAAATTATATAAATTGGAATCAATTCAGGAACTCGAGTTATAGATAGATGGAAAATCAAACTCGTACTTATTTAGAGTGTGGTTAAATATATATACGTCGTTAATTCATCGAATAATATAATTGTTATAATCTTTATATAATAATATCAATTTAATGGATATATATAAAAAATATACACAAATGGGCGCTTCCCCTAATGTACAATATCATTTGTTCACGGCTCATCAAATAATGTATCTTAGAATTGCTTGGATTGAAGTGGAAGGCTTTCCATTTGAATTACATTTCATGACGTTGAGGATTTCGTGTCAACAATAACCTGCAGTAGTTATCGGTGGTCCTCAAACTTAGTTACCCTCTTAATATAGCCGATGGGCAAAAGTTTAATTAAAGTTCCGAACTATGAAATAAACTAAGGGTTGACTACCTACATATTATTTTTGGAGTTAATGAAATAAAACTAGCTCCCTTAGTCCTTAGTTAAGTAATATTCAGACTATAACCTTACTAGATAGTAGGTACTTTAAAAATCAAATCAAGCACTGACCATAATATACCTGTATACATAGTTTATTAAATGTCAACATGTAAAGGATGATAATCACATGTATGATGTTTAAAACGAATTATAACTATAAAATAATATTACCTAGTACCTACTGTTGAACAATAAAATATTGAATATTGATCAGTACGTGTCTGACAGCCGACCGTGTAGCACGTGTTTACCGTATCACGAGTTCGCATTTTATAGCTCTTGATAGCACATCACTGCTGGACACACATAAACGGGTAATATAATATTGTATTATGTAACTATTACCCACCTTATCGCATAATGAGCTCGTTAATAAGACGGACAAACCGTCATTACCGGTCATTAAGAAACCGATATCGAATAAAATTATAAATTAAACAAATTTAACACTAATCACCAAACCTATAAATGTACCAAATACACAATCCACACTACCTCGCCGTACAAATAATATTTCTATCACTACCCCTCTACCACCACTCTTCGTACATCTACTTCGATTTCATCTGCACCTTCACCTTCGACGACTTCTCCGACCAGTTATATCAACAATGCAGAAATACACATTAACAAAGTACAAAACACTATCCGCAATTACGCTCAAGCGGCAGCTAATGACAACTTTCCCAGTAGAGAACAGGCACTTGTTTTTAACTCAATAGACGGTATATCTCAAAGAGACTATATTCTCGCCTTAGGTAAAATAGTATCACCAAAAAACATCGTATACGTCTCCCGCATTTCGAACAATCGTTTTTGCATTTTTCTTTCAAGCAAACAAATACTAGATTCACTTTTAGAATCCACTCAGACTATAACAGTTAACAATAATTTAATACAAATACGCAGACTTATAAACCCGTCAAAAAGGATAGTCATATCCAATGTCTGTCCATTCATCCTTAACCATGTTATACTTGACTCACTTAAAAAAATCAATATTGCCCCCGTGTCAGAAATTGCCTATCTCAAAGCCGGCATCAACATTGAGGGATATGAGCACATCTTAAGCTGCCACAGCCAGTTATTTATCAAACACAAAGATGCATCAAATCTCCCTGGATCATTACCCCTATTTCACAATCAGACAGAATTCAGAGTTTTCTTTACCGATGACAGAGTCATATGTTTTCTATGTAAATCCACCGGCTACACGCTCTAACACCTGCAAGAAAATAGAAGCCGTAGCTCCAACCTCTAACAAATCTCCGCGACCCACTTCTATGGAAGAACCCTCTACGAAAAAACCTCATGTGGAAGAATCTTCCACAAACTCCCCCACAAATATGGATATCCCTGAAACGGCTATACATACCTCCACATTAAAAAGTCATAAAAACTTTTTCACATCCCCTCAGACAATGAAAGTTATCACAGAAAATCTTCAAACAAACGAAATACTTCAGCCTACATCCATTAACCAGAATCACAAACCCGAGAACCATCACACATCATCTAATGAACCATAAAAAAGACCTCTCTCTGACGCCTCGTCTCTATTAACACCATTCTCACCACAGGAGCAGGAATGTCACAAAAAATCTAAATTAGACAGATCCAGATCTAACCAAGCAGGGTTGGGTAGTATCTTTGATACAAGTATCTAAGATACGTATCTTAAGTACAATTGTATCTCGTATCTTATATCTTGTATCTCGATACAATTATATGAAGTATCGAGTATCTTGTATCGCGATGCATTTTTAGTCAATGTATCGAGTACTTCATAAAAAAAATTAATCGAAAGATACTCGATACATTAATGCGATACTTTGAAAAATTAATTGTTTACGATTATTTTGACTCGTCAGAAGCCACTTTTGAAAAGTTAGATTTTTTAAAAGGAAACAATATATTATATTATAGGTAGTAAACAAAATCAATTTATAATAAAACGTTTATACCAATGGTATATAACTATAATAGTGGTGTAATGGTTGTATATAATATTAATATCTGTGGACTGTGACACACGCACTTTGAATTGAACTTTACGTCTGTATACCTGTACCTTATTAGATATCTGTAATTTTGTACAATAGTGTACCTAATAGTTACTACGGAATAGTGCAACTTTCGAGATAAAGAAGAAAATTTTTTTCGTAATTTAGCTAATATGAGAACACCATTGGTTAATTCTTTAATAAAACGATTTAGCGATTTTTTTTTAATTATCTCCCAATATAAATGAAGCTATTTTAGCAACTTGTTTTCATCCATGTTATAAATTAAGATGGATCTCTAATGAATATGACCACGAAAAAAATAGAATTCGAAACCTATGTATAAATGCTGCAGAAAATATTTTTAATAATGATGTTACTAAAATTCTAATAACTCAAATTCTAGCGATGAAGATGACGAAAATTTTTTACGATAATTTTTAAAAATCCAGTGACTAATTTTATTAAAATGTATTGAGTATCGAATATCGAGTATCTCAATACACCAAATCCAAGTATCTAGTATCAAGTATCTCGATACTGATTTTTAAGTATCTTGCCCATCCCTACGTCAAGATTAACCTTTGACTCAAACCAGCTGAGGACATCTTCTCTAATAATCCATATATCTCTCTAAGCCAATTCATACATGTATTGGAAAACTACACTAACAAGAACTTAAATATCCATAATATCTGTAAAGAGATCAATTCGGATACCACATCCCCGATGCTCTTGATTGATCAAATAAAACTTAAAGTCACTGAACGTCTCATTAAAGTTCATCTCACCAAACTAGACCATCTTCAAGTTAAAACTTTGGGCGTAATTTTTGACCATGAAGCTTCATGGATATCTCACATCATAAATTTAAAGAACGTTACGTCTTCAAGACTGAACATTATTAAAACTCTAACTCACACCTCTTGGGGAGCCCAATCTCCAATTGGTCTTTCAAAATACACAAAGCGTTTGTACTATAAAAACTTGATAACGGTGCCACAATCTTTTCAACGTCCAAACCTACCTATTTAAAAATATTGGAGCCAATTCACAATTCAGGAATCCGACTTTCCATTGGTGCGTTCCGTTAAAGCCTCATCAAAAGTATATTAAATATTGTAGGAATCCCTTCTCTTGTAGTAAGATGGGAAGAACATACCTTCAAGTTAGCAGCAAGAATCTCAAGATCCCCTCAAGACCATATTCACCATCCTTAATATATATTCAAAGATGCATACACAAAATACGATCTTAAAAACATAATACCATTTGAAACTTCTTTTTGCCCACCATGGAATTTCAGTATGAATATTAATCTCGATCTTCATAGTTACCCTAAAAACTCAACCTGCCCCCACACTTACAGAAACGCATTCAAAGAAAACTGTTCAATTTCTCACCCCCAAACTCACATATACGGACTCCTCACTCATCGAAGGGCGTGTTGGGATGACCATCATATGTGAAGAAACCACAATTCAATGGAAACTCTCAAACAATTGCTCAATATACTCTGCAGAAGCTTTGGCAATTCTTAAAGCTATTGAGTACCTACATAATCTCCAATATAGATGATGATAATATTAAAATATTTAGCGACTCCCTCTCTAAACTTACCAGCCTTCAAAATCAGTACAGCCCTTCTGATATTGTCAGGAAAATTTAGAACACCCACTACATAGCTCAACAATATGGAAAAAATATTACATACTCTTGGATCCCTGGTCACTGCAACATACCTGGCAACGAACAAGCAGATACAGCCGCAAAACTCGCCTACTCATCCTCAGATGCAAACATCTTACCCATGTTCTCCTTTAATGACATAAAGAGAGTCATTGAAGATAACACATCACGTATGTGTCAAATGGAATTGAATGAAACGTCCACCAAACTTAACGAAATTAAGAATTCCATTCAACCGTTCCCCGTCCCCACGAACACCACAAGAAAACAAGAGACCGCCATCAACCGTCTTAGAATAGGACACACCCACCTAACCCACTTCTATTTAATGAAGAAAGAAGTCTCTCCCATATGTACTTGTTGTTGGGTCCTCCTATCAGTTAAACACATTTAACGGAATGCAGAACCTATGACATGGAAAGAATACATTTGCAAATCTCCGACCACCTCGCTGAAGCACTCAATATTGAACCTACCAACGTCTTCAAACTCATTAAATTCCTAACAAAAACTCACCTCATTAACAAATTGTAAATTGTATATAATAATTAACATCTAATTCCTGTTTAATTAAGTAATATTTTTTGTTTTGTTTTAATTTTTTTTTTATTTTCTCTCTTATGATCTTATTACTTATAATATTAATACCATATGTTCCTTTAATTGTTAGTATTATTTAATGCATGAATATTGTAAAATATAATGTAACGACCAATGGCCACAGTTGCAGCGGATAGTATGTTTAATAAATAAAAAAAAAATATATTGTTATTAATATATCCTAATAGTTTATTGCAACATTTACGTTTACGTAAATATTGGTTAATAATTAATATTAACTCTCAACTCACTATCATTATTTGTTTTTATTTTACAATCTAATTGGTTTGATATAGACAAAAATACTCAACGAATTGCGTAAGTACGTTAACTCATAATTGTAGTTTTTAATGTAAAATATAGTGTGAAACTGTGAAAGTAAGATGGTAGCCGGTAGGATTTAAACAAAGATAAATAAAAAAAAATTTTTAAAAGAAGTGACGTTTGTGTTCGTTTTGTTCGTTTTAACTTTTAACTAATCCAAAACGTAAGTACTAAGTGTCGTGGCAAAAAAAAAATAATATTTTTATATTATGTAAAAAATTATACTACACGTGTTAAAACGGTTTCGTATTGACGTTAATATTTCAAATGTTCCATTCACTCGACTTTTTTTTGTTTGCACAGTATTATTAAATTATATCCAAACAGAAAATGAACAAAAAAAAAACTGTAAAATATATACCTACACAGTACACACATAATGAAAATGATCACAATTTTGTTCGCGGAAAAATATAAAGAGCGAATACAAATTAAAAATCGGGATGAAATTTAATTATTGAAATGTAATGTATGTTATAACCTATATCTTATAAGTTATCCTACATTATCCTTGTAACTTAATAAAAGTGTAAAATATAAAATATCATTATGATATATTCCTGCATACAGAATTAGTAATAACTCATTTTATATATTTTACTGTACATTTATATAAAAATTAAGTGGTTATATTTTCTAAATATTTTATTTATAAAACACTGTATCTACTTAAAAGTTGAAGACGTAATATAAATGCATTTTAATAACTATTTTGATTTTCTATATTCTATTTCTTCGTCTATTTTGATACTAAAAAGTTGAGAATTATTTATCTCACTAAGAAATGTATTAAAAATTATCATACAATAATAAGCAAACATAATGTTGTAAGAAACTACATTTTGTTTTAACTATAAAATAAAATTTATTTATTTAATTTTTTGCAATCTCATCCATGACATATTTAATATTTATAAATACAAAATAATTATCCGAAAATTGATAATCTGATTAAAATAAATTTACTACAGAACCTATATTTATTTTTATTTTTATTTTTATTTACAACTTGTTTTCAGATATTTTTCTCGATAATTTAGTGATTTTAATATTTAATTAGAATATATTTATTTGTAGGCATAAATTCTGTAGATTAAAATTCATCATGTAAGACATAAGAATTTATTATTATTAATTCAAAATATATTTTTCATTGTTTACATACAATATGTAAACCATTTACACATAAATTAATACAAAATCTTTTTACTATTATATATAATACTATACAGCAAAAATCTTTAAACAATGATCCATCTCATTTGTTCAATTATTTTAAGACTTTTAAAATAAATTGAAGAATCATGTATGTGCACTGTTATGCTCACTACCTCAACTTGGTTTTAGTAGATGCTTGTAGGTACTACTAGAAGAAATATACCAATGATATTTGATTTTTTCGGAGTTGTTCAATTGTGTTATTCATTTATTGAAAGTAGCGCTGTACTACATGCTATTTTAGAAAAAATATCAAAAGGTACTAACATACAATTTAAAACAATGAAATTGCTATTTATTACAACATGGGCATGTAGAGCAGAAGCCGTTGCATCACCTAAGCATAATTACTATATCTCAGCAATAGAAGAAATAATATCTTCTACTTCAGCTACTGATGTGTGCGCAAAAAGACGTGGTCTTCTATTTCAAATAAAGAGTTTTAATTTTATATTAGGATTAGAAATAATGCAACCAGTTTTACAATTGATAAATAAAGTTAGTAAAATGCTTCAAACAGAAAATTATCCTCTCCTATTCTACGCCCCACTTTGTAGATTTTCGAAAATCTCACGCTCCCTCCTATAAATTGTAAAAAATAGATCACCTTTTTTGGTGTACTTAACATATAAACTATCTATACAATATTCGAAATGACAACTTTTTTATTGATGATAATAATTATATGAAAGTAA